CGGACTGGGTTTCTCAAAGACCAAGCTCTTGACGTCTTCACCCACTGCCTCCCTGGGAGCCCATACAGATGACCAAATGGACACGTTCCTCCTAAAAGTCCCTGATCCCTGGGTGCAGAACCCCCGAGGGTGCAGCAGTTACAGATGCCGTTTCTGAGGTCTCATGGCCAATATATAGAGTCTTCTGGGGCTGGGTGCTAGAACCTGCATTTCTGGTGTGTCCCCAGACTATTTTAATACCAATTTAGATTCATGAAGACTCCAGACTCTAGAATCCCGATACCCTCACCGCCTCCGCTACCATCCTGGCCCAAGCAGCGCTCAGCTCTCGCTCGGACTAGTGCAGTAGGCTTGCTTCCCCTTGCGCCCCCGCCTGCTGGTCTCCACACAGCAACCACAGGATCGCCAACCTTCCCAACTCCCCAGCGGCCGCCTGTCTTGCCCAGCATGAAGTCCAAAGCCCGACCACCACCACAGTCTACGAGACCCTCTGTGGCCTGGGCTGCTGGCCTAACTTCTTTCCCAGAGAGAGGGGAGGCAGCTCTTTAGAGGGGCCAACGAGCCCAAGCAGTTAAGGTTGAGCGACACCAGGGCTGTGCGTTTCTCAGGAACCACAGCAGGACTCGACACAACCGTGGAACCATGTCATGGCTTTTCAGCTCCGACGTTAGCCCTTGAAAATCGACATTGCGCTTGCGCGCCCCCTTCAGCTCAGGCGTTCCTGGCCCAAAGCCAGACTTCTCCAAGTTCAGGGGCAGATCCTTTTGCAAAGAGGCCCTTTTAAGGAGATGGGTAGATGGGTGTTCAGAGCAAAGTGTGGGCTGACTAGACTCGGCAGTGGGGGCGGGGAGTCGGCTTCTGCACATGGGGTGCCTGGGCCAGCAGCCTCACGCCGCCTGGGACGGTGTCAGAAGTGTGAGTCCTCGGGGAGGCGGGGAGGGCACAGGGCCCAAAGGCTCTGTTCAGCGAGCCCTCCGGGACAGATGGTCCCGGCTCACGTCTGCGGTCATCTGAGAGCCGTCTCAGCTGGTCTTTCCCTTCGCCCTCGGCTCGCCTCGTTGTGCCCGGCTGTAAATGGGAGTAACGTACCCACATCGCGCGACCTACGATCTGCGTTCACAGACCCGCAGCCCCTCGAGTGCACTCAGGGATCTGTGCTGGGGCCTGTGCGGGCCGGGCCGGGCCGGGCGCTGGGACGAGACTGGGACACCGTCCCTGACTCCAGGAACCCAGTGTCCCGCTAAATCCGTGACCATGGATTGAGCCCAATCTGTGGCGGGAAACAAGAGGAAGCCCCAGGAAGGGCGAGCACCCCCACCTGGGGGGGGGCGGAGGCAAGTGTCGCCGAACAAGGCGCCCTGGAAGCCGGGCTGGGGTGGGTTTTAAATCATGTAGACAACAGCTATTACATCTTTATTTGGAAAATACAGAAAGAAGGAGACAGCCCCGTGAGCGCTCCACCACGCCCCCCTCTCGCCTCCCCCACCCCGGCCCCTCCCCGCTGTACTGTAAATAAATTGGCAAGGAATACCGGTGTGTTTTCCTTCGGAAAGAGTGTTTTGAAACACTTAAGTGGCTCTTAAAACTTGAGCCAAATTGCTCTTCTAAAGCCTGTTGCCGTTTCGCCGTTACCTCGCGCTTATCGCCGTTCCACGTTTTTGCTAGTTTGTCGGTGGGTGGTTATTCCGCATGGCTGGGTGAACGGGTGAGCGAAGTTGGGAACGGGTGTTTGTTCTCTCGCTTGCTGATGTCTGTCTGTGAACTGCCATTCAGGAGCTTTGTCCATCTGGCGCCTCGATGACATTTAAAAAATGTTGAATATGAAATTAGTTACCGAGCCAACCTGACATTTAAAAAAAAACAAATCAGATTCTGAGGATGCCCCTGTAAGGAAATCAAACCATCAAAAATAAAAGCAGTGGTTATGAAGTGTTTATCATGCTGTTCTCAGTAATAGTGGAAAATGCAGCTCGTCTCAGTGTGGTGGGGGGGGGGGGGCGTGCGTGCAAGGCCAGACTTGGTAGAATAGTATGCAACCATTAAAATCACATGACGAAGGCTGCCTGGCAACGTACAAACATGGTTATGATGAAATTTTAAGCAAAATACATACAAAGCGCTTTGGCTATTGTTGTTATGACTAAGTGGAAACATCTTCATGGGAACAGAGTGGCTGCGAGGTCGGCCTGCAAGGACTCGGGGGCAGAGTGTGAACCTGACTGCGCTTTCTCAGTCTCCTGCTGTCTCTTATAATAAATAAGCAGGAAGGAGAAGGATGAGGACAGAACAATTCGACTGTGCAGGACCTGGGAAAGGCTGGAGACACCAGCCAGGTGGGGGTCCTCCTTCACCCGAGCTCCCCTGAGCTCCGGTGGGGACCCCAGCCCTGCTCCTGACATAATGTAGGTTAGCTGGCATGTGCTTGGTCCCTCCAGTTCTCCACCTCCACCCCCTCACCCCCCAAACCACCCACAGTGGCTCCCCGCGCATGTCCTCTGGTCTTCTGGTCCTCTCTAGAGTCTAGCCCAGCTGGGGCTCCCAGAGTCCTGTTGCAGGCACCTGGAGTATCGCCGGGCTCCTCCCGCCTTGCTTGTCCCTGCTCCTGGCCCGGCCTGCCAGCCCAGCTCATCTCTGCCCGTCAAAGGCCTGCCCATCCTTCAAGACCCAACTCAAATGCCCCCTTCGCCACCGCCCCTTTTATCTCCTCAACCCTCCAGGTCCCCCAGTAGTGGACGTCCTTGTTTCTTGCAGGTTCTGTGCATTTCCATCAAAGCCTGTCTGTCCTCCTCAACTGAAAACTTACGCCACCCACTGCCCCCCGCCCCCGCCCTGAGAGCCTTGGTAGGGATGCTAAGGGTGGGCTCCCAGGAACAGGGTACAGAAACAGGAGTGCCCGGGACCTGGCTTGGAGTCCCATCGGGACGGGCCAAGGACCAGCGTGGAGCCCCGGGCAAGGTATTGCGTCTCTCTGGGCCTCGCTTTTCTCTTCTGTGCGATGGGAGCGGTAAGAATCGCCGTCCTGCGTGGCGTGGGTGACTCACGCAAGAGTCATTAGTGAGGCCTATTCCTTCCACATATATGTGTGTATATATGAACTTTTTATCAAAGGAGAACGTAGATGCAGAAAGTTTGCAGTGTATTAAAAAAACGCATGCACATGGCTTCGAATTCAAATAGCAGCAAAGAGTTCTGAATTAAAAGCTGGCCCGGCACTGCCTCTTTGTACCCTCCGGAATTTCCCATTGCATCTTCTTAAATGGCGCACAGGTTTACTGTAGAAGTCAGGAAATGTAGACAAGCAAATAGAAAGCCAAGTCTCCCACCTTAAACACTTCAGAATGTCTTCTTCCAGGCCATTCAACCATGTCTTCTCTCCCCTCCCCCGTGCTCAAAAAAGTCCTTGTATTTTTTCTGCGCATTAGAGCTCTCATCACATTCTGCCTCCAGCTGAGGGGCATAAGGAATTTTTGTTGAGTAAAAGGTGCTCCACCTTGGTGCTCAGTGTGCCCTAAAGACCAGCAACTCAGTGGTGAGGGGCGTGGGGGGCAAAAGGGGAGCTGAAGGCAGCGTCTCCAGCCCCATCCCTGATTCTGCATTTTCCTAAGATGGCGGAGCCCGCACATCAAAGCTGGAAGGGGGGTGTGGACAGAGCGCGGCAACCATGAGCTGTTGATCACGGTCCTGGACAGGTTAGAGCTAGGATGTAAATGCGGTCGCTTCTTTATAAAAAAAACTTTACAAAACACTGCCAGCTTGATGAGGACGGTGACTTACATTCTGACCGAGCCCTAAATCCTGTCAGGGCTCTTGGGGTGCAGGGGTGAGCAGAGGCTCACTCTCTAGCAGGGAAGATAGTGTCAAAAGTGCCACGCAAACACTGAACGAGAGGCCAGAGGTGCTACAAAGAAGTGTGAGCAGCCTGCAGTGGGGGCGGATCTACTCTGGGCCTGGGTAGTTTTTACTAAGCAGGTGCTCCAGCCCTCCAGCCCCCGATGAGTCAGCACTTAAGCAGCAGCAAAGCCCGGAGGAGCTTCCCAGGGAGGCTGTCACCACCTTCCAAATGGTTTTGGGCTGGTGGAAGGAATCAGGTTTACTTTCACTTGCTTTGAATTGAGAGAGAGTTGACGGAGGGCATGTTGCTTTCTGGTGTACAGTGGGATGAGTCAACATTTGCCTCTATTGCCAAAGGATCGCCACACAACCATACAGTTACACACCTTCTTCATTGCGGTGATGACAACTTTTAAGACCTCCAAGTTGACTTTTTTGGAGGCAAAATTTATACGCAGCAAAATCACAAATCTGAAGGTGCAGACTGAGGAGCCTTGGCAAATGCGCACGCCCCCGCCGCCCGCCCCTCCGGGAGGTAGAGAACGTCAGCGCAGGCTCGGCTGACCGTGTAAACATCTCCCTTTTTTTCCCCCAAAGATTTATTTATTTATGCATACAAGAGCTGGGGTGCAGGCCAGAGATGCGGGGGGGTGAGAGGAATCACCAGAGACAGAGTGGGGAGCAGAGCAGGCAGACTGACTGAAATACACTCTGAGGGGAGCAGCGGGCGAGCCAGGAGAGGTCTGCTGCACCATGTGGGTTGCTTCCCGCAGGATGGCTTCCCAGGCTGCATCCTAACCCCTTGCGCCACCAGGGAGGCCCCTTTCTCATGGAAGCCAGGGCTGGCTCGTGGGAACTCACTCAACAGCGGGTCTGAGGAATAAAGCCTGGGCTAGGTTCAAGTCCCCACTCCCCACTTTCCACCCCATGACTTTGCCCAGGTGTCTCCACTTCCTGGGATTCATTTCTGCATCTGTAAAACGGGGTTAATTAAAGCTGTGAACCTGCAAATGCCCAGAGCACATGGAGGCGGCGCTGGGGGTGACCCTGTTTAGTTTCCAGAAGGGGCACAGTGGGCAGGGGACCCGGGGCTGGAACCCAGCCTCCCCCGGAGTGTGTGGGAGCCTTGGTCACTCACTGCTCACGCTCACTGCTGTCTCTGTCCACAGGGATGTGCCTGCAGGCCTTCGTGGAGGCTTTCTTCTACCTGGCACAGAAGAAGTTCAAGATGCTGCCCCTCCACAAGCAGGTGGCCTCGCTGATCGACCTGTGTGAATACCACCTGTCCCTGCTGGACGAGAAGCGGCTGGTGTGCCCCCGGAGTGGCACGTTGAGCGGCCGCCTGCCCCCCAGTACCACACCCCAGGAGGCCCAGGGAAACGCCCCACCCTGCACCAACAGCACCCCCAAGCTCTCCCACTCCAGACACCCTGCGTCCTGAGGGCCACTCTGTCCTCTGGGAAGAAGAGGGAGCCCTTAGGGCCGGAGGGAGGCCCCGGGCCCCTACCTGGGGAGAGAGGGCAGGTTGCCGGAAACGCCCCTGGGGATGCTGCTCATCCCCGAGGTGTCCTGCTTGGAAAGGCCGGCTGATCCCGCCCGCCCTCCCCCTGCGCCTGTCGCCTCTGGGTGGCCCTCCTGCTGGCGAGCCATCAGCGGACGCATGACATCCGAAGTGGCAGGAGGCAGCTTCTATTCCGGACTCACAGAAAGCAAGCACTGGGGTAACACTGTTGCATTTGGGGCACGTGGCACCCACCATCCCAGGACTGAGGGCTGCGGGAGCGAGGGACTCAGGAGGACTCTGCTCCAAGCCCGAGTGCATCATGTTGATTTCCTACCGCGCCGCCCGCGAAAATCACGTCGGCATCCCCGACTCTCCCGTCCCGATCATGTGCTACACGGGTGTAGTTAACAGATTAGCCTCATTTGTTTCATTAGCTTGCCTGTTGCTGCAACGTTTGGTTTGTTATTAAGAAATAATTAAGACGTAACTACCTACGGCTCCCAGCATCTCCGAGCCGGCAGGCACCTCCCAGATCCTTTTGTTGGATTTTGTTTGACCTTGACCCCAAAGTGAGCGTGCCACAGTCTTGTGGCCTCTGATTAGAGACCCCCCGAGTAGGGGCTCGCTGCATGGCCAGCAGGGTCACAGCAACCACTGCCATGGGCCCCTGAGCGTCCAGCCTGGGGGGGGGGGCGGGGGGAGGTGCTTTCCAGGGGAGGAAGCAGACAGGGCTGGAGGACAGGCCGCCTTTCCTTGTCTCCCTCCGTGTCCCGAGACAGCCCCTTCTCTTAGGGGACGCCTCAGAGACAGCCAGAGCTGGCACTTCGGAAAACGGCAACGGGGCAAGCTGGGGTCCAGGGCTCATCCACAACAGGCAGGTGGAGACTGTCCTTGCAAAGCCTAGTCTCTCGGGTGTTGTTGGACTTGAGGATGAGAGTGGCCCTCTTCCCAGAGGGTCCCCCTGAACGATCCTGGCAGAAGAGCGAGGAGCATGAAAGGGCTTTGAGGGCAGAGCACAGAGCCTGGCCCCAGGTCAGCCCAGAAGGCCCTCCCAGAAGGAGCTCGAGGGGAGGGAGGTGGGAGGCAGGACAGTGTTCCAGATACTCTTTCTCCTGCGCTTCCTGCCTCTCCTCTTGTCTTCTTCCTTCTAATACCTTCCCTGCCTCCTGATCCAAACCCAGGGAGCAGGTGACTCGTGGTCCCACACAGAGCAGGCAGGTCCACGCTCAGGGCACCTCTGTGCGGATGAATGCCGTGGATTCGCCCTCCCGGGAGTATTTTTAAGCCCAAAGAGGTTGTTCACTCCGGGCCTCCCTGTCGTGAGGCGTCTTAGCACAGGGCCCTCTGTTCACCCCGCCAGGCCCAAGCTCACTCTGAAAGGGAGGCCGGTGTGCAGGATGGCTCCCTGCAAGGCCTGCCTCACTGCCGCCTCTTCCTGCTCCTTCCCCAGCCCCGGGGCCCCAGCAGCCCCCCAGCCCTTGGCGCAGGAGACCTTGTAACACCTTTATCATCCCTGTGGTGAGCAAGACAAGTTTAAAATGGGAGAGGAGCCCAATGGGCCCCCAGCGCCTCCCGCGGGGACCAGCCCAGGCTCGGGTGCAGCAGCAGGGAGTGTGCAGGCGCCTGGGAGGAGACCAAAGCCTGAGAGGCCACGTGCAGGGTCTGCCCGGGGCCAGCAGGTCTGTTGACTGACTCAGTCTGCGTCCCCAGGCGAGCGTGGATCGGCTCTGACAGGGCCGCTGCCCCCGCCCCCCCGCCATGCCACCAGGCCGCGGGCCAGGGCAGCGCACCCTGCTAGACGGGCCACCGCGAGGGGCAGAGTTGGAGGACCCTGCGCCTGCTCGCCCAGATCAGCCCCTTTGCCAGAGCCAGTGATTTCACGGCGGAAGAGCCACGCAAACGCATCCCCGCAACTCGTCAGCCACCAGGAGCGGCGAGTCTCAGCTCTGACCCCGGTGCCTGGCGCTGATGACTAGAGAGCGCTCGCTGCCCTGTGGGACGCCACGTCCCGCCTGGAGTCACCCACACCCGCTGACCTGGGGTGGGGGTAGCAGTTGAGTTTCAGCTGCGTCGCTCCTGGAGATGAGACAGTGGAGGCTCCGCTGGGGCCTCTCCTTGCCTCAAGCGTTACCCTGGGCCGGCTGGGCTGCCAGGGCTGGGGGGGCTGGGCCGTGAGTACCAGGGGAAGGAAGCTGCGCTTCACAAGCTCACGCCAGGCCAGGAAGGGCAGGCCAGGCTCCTTTCTCCCAGTGCTGGCGACCAGGAAGAACTCGAGGCCGGCCATCTTGGATGCTTGAAGACCTCCCTCCTCCCCGAGCCTGGGGCTGCCCTGCGGTGTTCACCCCCACCTTATGGCTGCTCGCTCCTGTGCAGGGTGTGACCGAAGTGAGAACAGAAGAGGAGGTTTCCTCGCCTGGGAAGAGGGGACGGGCCAGGGAGCGGGGTGCCTGTGTTTTGCCTGCCAGATGGGCCCATTCCGGGGAGGGATCCAGCCCGACCCTTCTGCCCCCTCCTCCTGCCCTTCCCCCCCTCCTGTGACGCCCCCACCTACACAGTCCAGCCACACCGACCCTCTCACTTCCCCAGCCGAGCCCTGAAGGGCCGGCACCTAGAGCCGGCTCGATGCGTGGGTGAGAAACTGGCCTTCAGCCCATCTCAGCGTGGGGTGCGTACGTCAATGGGGGCTGCCGGCCTGGCCCCCTCTGGGGCACCAACAGCTCCCTTCCCTTCCACGCTGGCCTGTCTACTGAGCCTGCCAGGAGCGTCGCGCCCACGGCCTGGCCAGAAAGGGGCCACAGCAGAGGCGCGGGAGGTGCTCCGGGTCCAGCTGTTAGAAGGGCTGATGCTCACCCCCCGCCCCTGCCCCGGCGGCCCGCGTACAGAGACAGTGCTCCCGGAGGGGCACCTCCTTCCCCCAACACGCCTCCTGCCCCCCACTGGGCTCTGTCCTCTCTCCACTGGGCCCTGTCCTCTCTCCACTGGGCTCTGTCCTCTCTCCACTGGGCCCTGTCCTCTCTCCACTGGGCTCTGTCCTCTCTCCGCTGGGCCCTGTCCTCTCTCCACTGGGCCCTGTCCTCTCTCCACTGGGCTCTGTCCTCTCTCCACTGGGCCCTGTCCTCTCTCCACTGGGCTCTGTCCTCTCTCCGCTGGGCTCTGTCCTCTCTCCACTGGGCCCTGTCCTCTCTCCACTGGGCCCTGTCCTCTCTCGCTCTAGCTCAGCCCTCACCATCCTCGCCTGCCCTCGGCCTGTGCTCCACCCCTGTCCTCCCGGGCTCTCCCGCCCGGCTGTCCTTGCTGGGTGACCCCCTCCCTCCCCCCAGGCGAACTCACCTGCCTGTGCAGATCCAGCTCAAACGTCCCCACTGCAACCCCCACACCAGTGAAGGGCTCACCTTGCGAACCCGGCAAGTTCCCTCATGGCCACACTCGTCCGCACAGCGCGCCGCTGCTCCCGCCTCGCTGACCCCTTCAGCGCAGGCAGGGGCTGGGTTCACTGGCCCTTGGGGCACCCGCAGAGCCCGGCAGCTGCCAGTAAAATAATAGGAATGTTCCGCGGCCCTGGCGGGAGCCCTGGCCACCACGCTCCGTCTCCCCTGCGCCCGCGATGCCCATGGATGTCCGAGCCTGGCCGAGGCGATGTGCTGAGCGCCGCCATGTCCCGGCGGCCGGTCCTGTCCCGGCCTGCGGCACCGCCCCCACGCAGACAAGGACTCCCCCCCCAGAGGCCTCCGCGCCCCTCGTGCGGGTCTGGGCCTGGGTCCTCCACGCTGGGTGACCCTCGCCTGGAGCCCAGTGCCCGTGGGGTGCCTCGTTCTCCCCAGGCTCCTCAGCCTGTCTCTTCGGGCCTCAGGCAGCCCGGGAGGGTGTGGGGCCGGGTGGGCCAGAGGATGCAGATGGGAATATAGAGAGTGGGGGAGAGCGGGGTGGCGTTGGGGGGGGCGTGGATTTCAGGGGCATTCCTTGCCCTTCTAGAACCAACTGTCTTTCCCTTCTGGCAGCCCTGCAAAGGTTAAGGCTTCTCACCCACTCTCTTCACAGATGGGGGTGACTGATACCTGGCAGGTGCAGTGACCTGGCTGTTTGAACCCCAGCTCCGAACCTCATGCCCCTTTCGGGCACCACATCCACCCTCCCGCTGCCTCGAAGCTCCGGCGGCCCGACGGGAGACGGCTTGACCCCGTTTCACGTAGAAACACACATCTGGGGGGCGTGACTCTGTCAGTACTGGGGGTGATGGAGGCTGAACTGGGGGCTCTCCCTCCCGCTCTGCTCTCACTGAGCTGCCCAGGAGGGACACAGCCTCTCCACACGGGGTTACAGGTCCGTCCTTACTTGATCTCGGGCAGCAGCTGACGAGAAGCGGAAAGCGTAACAGATAGGAACGTGCCCCAAGGTGCTGCTGCAGTGCTGGGGTATTTCCAGACGGGCTTCTGTTTTCCTGCAAAGCGTCAAGGTTCCTTCTAGAATGTTCTAATCCCTCAAGACCAAGGAAGCAGGGACTGTCAGCGCCTCTCCCTCTACCCTTCCCTGTTTTCCTCACCTATTGAAATGTCACAGGGTGAAAGTGGTTCCTGTGTTTCCTCTGTCACCTGGAACCAGCCCAGGGATTGGCAGAGAAGGACACCAAAACAGCTGAGGTTGACATTCATTTCTCGATAAAGGCCTCTGACTCCTTGACCCTCTCCTTGAGAATCGGGCTTGAAACGCTGGACATCCTCCCCAAGCTCAGGGATGGGAGACCTCCCACTGGGCTTGGGGGCGGGCGGGCTGCTCCCGGCTGATCCTCCCACGGGGTGCATTCACCCAAACCCACCTCGCCGTCAGGGATGTTGTTGCCCATCCACCAGGTAGTCTCGAGAGAAATTTCCCACATGGCGTAGGAATTTCTCCCTCACAAAATAAGTCCATCTTTTTTCTGTTCCCAGGGCAGAGAGGCTTTGCAGAACAGTCCACATGTTCAATTACCTCCATCTCTGGTCACCAAAGTCTTGTTTTTATACAACTAGAAAAAGCACACGGCATAGAGCTTGCAGGTACACCCGTGTGTTCTCGAGTGCACACGCGTGCACACACACACACAGAGCACCACTGAGCTTTTGTATAAAATGGTGAAATTATGTGTTTTTCTCATTTCTGGCAATTTGCTTCTGAGCCTTCCTTAGAGAGCGGGGGACAAGGGCTCTTTACGGCTCTGGACAACATCCTCTTCTCTGCGGAGCCTGGTGGGAAACATTTCCTCCAGTGCCAAGGGGTTTGCTGAGCCCCCAGCCGGCACTGCAGTCTTGGGGCTAGTGGCCCCGCGGGGGGGTTGGGGAGAGGAGGGCCTGCTCCTCGCCGCGGCTCCCAGGGCCCCCAGGCTGCTGCAGCAAGGCCAGGGGCGAGGCCGGGTAAGAAGTCAGGGAGTTTTCTGCTCAGAACCTCTTACATCACTGAGAGGATCCCAGAGGAGGCTCCGAGGGAGCAGAGGAGGCAGAGCCTGGGGGCCTTTGTCTGCTGCTCCCTCCATCCAGGACCCCCCCTCCCCGCGCCATTCCTGGCCTGCGCAGCGGGAGCCATTTTGTGAAGAGCTGGGCGTGGGGCTGGGCCCGGGCAGCGCCTGGATAAACGTCTACTGAGTAAAGGACGGTCTCAAGATGCCGACAGAAGACAGCGCGTGGGGAGCCCTGCGCCCACCTGGCCGGCGCACCGGAGGCGGCTCCCCGAGTCTGGGGACAGGCCGCGTGCGCCAACCCCCTCCCGCCGCTGCTGGGCTGCAGCTCCTGCCTCTTAAACGCCTTTAAACACTCTTTATTAAATTTTCATGCCACATAAAGTCAAGGTTCTGTTACTTGGCCTCAGTTGTCTTGGTAACTTCGTAAAATGCAATAAAAAAACAAGGCTGAGTGTCGCTAAACACAGGCCCATTGTGTAAGCGGCTGCCAAGTAGCGAGGATTGCTCTGGCGCCATCTTTCCCGGCAGCAAGTCCACCGGGGGGGACAAGGCTGGCTCCTTTGGGGTCAATCCGTGAGAAAAGGGCTCCTATTTTTTTGCCTCCCATGGTGGTTAATATTCGCCTGGGAGGCTGTGGCCTCGGGGAAACTGGGGAGGTCCCGGGGAGAGGATGGGGGTTTGGATAATCCCCTAACCCTGCACCTGCGGGGACAGTCTCCCTCAGTGACAGGTCCTCGAGGCCAGCCACCTGTTGGGTGGATGCAGGGGCCGCTGCCCTGAGGGGGGTGGCCTCTTCGGCTTCAGGGGTCACCGCAGGTGAGATGGCGCAGCAGGTGGGTACCCCAAATTCTACCCTCAGAGGGGAGGCTGCAGGCTTCACTAGAGGACTAAGCTAATTCCTGCACCAAAGAGGCAATTTCTGATGCTCCCAGCAACTCTGGGGGCCCTTGCCTGGGACTCGCTCCCCAAACTACCCTGTAGGGTAAGGAAAAATGTCAGGCTTTTCTGCCCTCCCGCCATCAGGATAGATGATGGATCCTTGCGGTCCTGAATGCATGCCTGATGGCGGGCACCTGGAGCGGGGTGTGGGCATAGGTAGATGGGATTCTCCTGGGCTGAGACTGGGCTTTTAAGGGCGGCGTCACGGGGACGCCAGCAGCAGCTGAGAAGCAGCAGAATGAGCGGAAGAGCAGCGAAGCAGAGAGAAGGCCGGAGAGGCCAGATAGAGTGAGGACTTGCTGGGGGCTGGGAGGCCTGCCAGCCTCCCGGCGCCCCCAGCACCCTGCCTGCCATATGCCTGGTAAATCTAAATAAAAGACTTGCAAAAACCACTGAGGACTCTGACTTCCCCCTTTACCCGGTCTGCATGGGATCAAAAAACCTGCACTGGTCCATTCCTGCCACTACATAACCCCATTTCCCTCCCCGGTTCTGGCATCACTTGTCCCCTTGGCCCTTTGGGAGCAGCTATGTCCCTGCTTCATAGCACCTGGATTCTGGACCCCTGGTGGTGGCAGAAAGCAGACGGCCTTGATTTGGAGGGGGATCCTGGCCCCAACCCCTAGAAATCACCACCACTTAGGTCACCCCTTGCTGTTCCACGGGGGCCAACTGTTCCCCCTGGAGACTGTTCTCTGGAGCCCTCAGGTTTGCCTTTCTTTTTTTCTTTTTCTTTTTTTTTAAAGGAAGAAGCCACTTTTTTTTTTTAAAGATTTATTTATGCATACAAGAACTGGGGGTACAGGCCAAAGTTGGGGGTGGTGAGAGGATTCACCAGAGACAAAGAGGGGAACAGAAGAGGCAGATTGCCTGAAACACACTGCTGAGAGGAGCAGCGGGCGCGACAGGATAGGTCTGCTGCGCCATGTGGGTAGCTCCCTGGCCGGGGATCCAACTCGTGCTGCAGTGGCTGTGGGTAGCTTCATAGGCTGCATCTCAACCCCTTGCGCCACCAGGGAGGCCCAGGTTTGCCTTTCTTGAAACAGTCCCATCTCACAGCTTCCTCTGCTCCTACTCTGTCCTAGCCCCTTGGCACGGATGCCTGAGTCCACAGGTGATGGCTTTGTGGGGTAGGGTGGGGGGCCGAGCAGCCATCAGTTCCCTGTGAGGAAACCAGGTTTCTCAGTTGGGGGGAAGGGCGCCCCCCAGCCTTGGAGGTGGGACCCGCCTCTGCCCTCCACAACCAACCCAGGGTCAGCTGGCTGCCAGGGCCTACCTTGCCTTGTAACTCTGGGGGTGCCCCTGAGGGCCCACACCCCACCTCTGTCTCTAACACCAGCAGCCCCCATTTTGTCTCTGGTCAGTGGAAGACTGTTCAAAGACTGCTTGCACGCCTGCTGCATCCCAGCCGTCAATTTTGCAAATGAGGCAGAGGAAGCCCAGAGAGGGGAACAGCCTTACCTCAAGTTCCCAGCAAGTCAGGGCGGGCGCCCAGGCTTCCTGAGTGAGGGAGTCCTCTGCACCTGGTTCCGGCCGCGGGCTGGAGAGGAAACCGGCACCAGCCCCGGGATCCTCTCGTGGAGGAGTTTTAACGAATTCCACCTGCTGACATGTCAGGAAAACGCTTCAAATATCATCACTTCCGTTGTTTTCCCCCTGACAGAGCAGGGGACCTGGGCGAAGTCGCTTGTCGGGCACCTTCCCGCCACCTGAGCCCCGCCTCGGCCCCTGCCACCACCACAGTGTCAGGTGAGGCCAAAAGGATCAGGCTTTTCTGCCCTCCCGCCATCAGGACGGATGACGGAACCCTGCGGTCCTGAACGCGTGCCTGCTGGCGGCACCTGGAGTGGGGTGTGGGCCTAGGCACATGGGATTCTCCTGGGCTGGGACTGGGCTTTTAGGGGTGGGGTCACGGGGACGCCAGCAGAAGCCGAGAACGAACAGAAGCCGAGAAGCAGAAGCAGAACCACGAGAAAGAACACGAGAGAAGGCCGGAGAGCCCAGGAAGAGTGAAGACTGCCAGCCTCCCGGCCCCCCGGCCCCCGGCCCCCCTGCCTGCCGTGTACCTGGTGAATCCCAGTAAAAGGCTGAGAAGCCACCGAGGGCTCCAGGACTCCTCCTTGACCCGGCCTGCTGGGTCAGAAAGCCTGCACTGTAGCGAGGGGAGCCCAGCTCATTTCTCACCCCTAATCACAGGCCCTCTGCCTCAGGGGCTCCTCACTCGCCGCTCAAGCAGGTGTGCTTGGAGCTATCTCTGGAGCTGGCGGTTGTGGCCTTGCGGGGGGCGGGTTTCTGCCACCGGCTGTGCTGGGGTGAAAGAGCCCAGGCTTCGGGGAGTCTGCAGGCGGGACCCAAAGAGGCCAGCTGCCAGCCGCCATTTCATGACGCCGCGCGCGTTAGCTTTAAAAGTCCTCTCAGCACAGCCTTCTGCTCCGTCTTCCAGGCACGTTAACTGGGGGAGATGAGGAGATGCTGAGATTGAAAACTGAACCCCTGGATCACACGAGGGAGGGTTGTTTCTCATCCGTGCAAAGCTGACGTGGGCCCCGTGGGCCTCCAGCTTGCGTGTCCTCTGCACGCGGCCGGCTGCTCCAGCCTGCACTCTTGCCTCGACGGCCCCGGGACACGAGCCGCTGGGGGGATGGCGGGCCACTGGCTGGGCCACGGCTTCACCTCCACGCGCTTGCCCTTGACCAGCCCCTGGTCACGCACAGGACGCTGGGAGGTGCTGTCTTCTAGACGTCTACACAGGGGACGCGGCGAACGCACAGTATCGCTTTGACGCCATTCCTACTGGTTTTAACATAAATGTTTTTCTGCTCAATACGGAAATAACATTGTTGCTCCAAGAAAACCACCCCGTCACCTCCCAGCTGTGACCCACCGCGTGCATCACCCTCTGCATCCGAGCCGCTCAGCGGGACGGGGGCGCGTGGAGGCCCTAAGGCCCCGGAACCACAGGGCACCACTGGGGCGGCTCCCACCTTCCCCGGGAAAGCCCATCCCAGGCTCTGCTGCTCAGCCCCACGCTCGCCAGCAGCTTCCCAGCACCCGGCAAACAGCACGGAGGAGGTCAGAGGCAAGCCTTCCCCCCGAAGGGTGGGGCAGCCAGGCCTGCATCTTGGAGCCGCTCAAGATCCCAGACAGTGTGTGACCTTCCTGGGCGGGCAGAGAGCTTGGCCCAAGCCCCGGAGGCCATCTGGCCTAGATAGAGGCGGCGCAGCCCAGCCAGCTCCAGCTGCCCCTGCGTGCAGGCCCAGGGCTCCCGGCCCGCCCGGGGCAGGTCCCACACAGAGCAGCCTTCGGGCAGTGAGTAGATGGGTCCCCTTAACCCACTTCAAGGCGATTCTCTGCTGCAGTCACACTGGGTGCTGAGTCACAATGTAGGGCGAGGGTGTGAGCCCCGGAACTTCTAGTCCCCGAGCCTCACGTGTAAGGCCAGACCATCCGGGCACATCCTGTGGATTAGTTTATTCGATCGAGTATCATGTTCCAGAAATGAGCGATCTTACTGCCTCCTTGTTTACAGCTGAGGAAACTGAGACTCAAAACCGAGATGAAGGGACTGACCCAGGAGGCAATGTTGGCTGGGACCTCAGGTTCTCCGGCCTGACGGCCAGACCTGCTCTTCTGGGCTCCCCTGCCAGGGAGGGGGCCCCGGGAACACGTGGGAGCGCTCCGAAACGCCCTTGAGGGTAATAAAGTCCTTGAGGGGAGGCCTCACCGCCCCCGCTCCCTGGAGCTGCTCCAACCCATCCAGGTTTACACAACAGGGAGGCCTTGAAAACTCTGGGCTTGGCAGCCGTGAGGCTGCACAGGGGAACACAGAGAGACCACGTTGCCAGCACCGGGACGCCCCATGTCCGGCCGGGGCGCCTGTGCTGCAGTGGAGGGAGGGGGTGTACGGGGAAAGCCGTGACTTGTGTGAAGGATTGACTTCACCCCGGGCACCCTGGCCATGGAGGGAGGTGGGCCCCCAGCCCCAATGCCCAGAAAGAGGCGCCAGCAAGGATGGAAGCAACTCTCAGTCCTTTATTTGTGCCGCTCGTGGCCTGTCAAGTGGCCCCTGACGGGACCGCAGGGACAAGGCATCCCGAATAGGAGCGGTTTTCAGTGCCGGGCCAAAGTACCCTCTGCCTCAGGCCACCAGGAAACGTTCAAGCGCATTCCATGTCTTTTTTCTTTTTTAAAAAGATTTATCTATTTATGCACGCACGAGCTGGGGTGCAGGCCAGGTGTAGGGGGTGAGAGGATTCACCAGAGACAGAGTGGGGAGCAGAACAGGCAGACTGAAGAAATACACTGCTGAGGGGAGCAGCGGGCGAGTCAGGAGAGGTCTGCTGCGCCATGTGGGTCATGTCCTTGGCCGGGGATGGAACTCGTGCTGCAGAGACTGCGGACAGCTTCATAGTGCTGACGCTTAACCCCTCGCGCCACCAGGGAGGCCCTACTTTGTTTACTTCTGGCCCCCAGCTGATGCATCCAAGAGTTTCCAGCTTTCTGTTACTAAAGTGTAGCAGGAATAATTCCTGGCCCGCATGCGTGTGTCCTAGAAGCTGAATCGCAAGGTCACAGGGCATGGGCACTGATATGCCATCCATATTGCCAAAGCGCCCTCCAAAGAGCAGGACAACAGGCGAGTCACCCTCTGAGTCCCAACAATGGCATGAAGACGGGTCCCGTCCCCCAGCACAGCACACTGGCACCCTGGCCTCGGGATGGGTGACCAACACGGCATCGTCTGACCTTAGATTTCATTTATCTTGCCCTTCCACGAACGAAGCTGAGACCTGCTCGTCACGTGTCCAGAAGACACGGCTATTTCCTTCTCTATGGACCACTTGCTCATGTTCTTTGCCCATTTTTCTGCTGGTCTTTTCCTTATTGACTTGTAGAATCTCTTTGCAGATGAAAATAATTAGCCTTTTGTCAATTTTTTTTGCAAAATCTGTGCTCGATATGGGCCATTTCTCAGCAGCCAACTGTCTCCGCTTCCAACTCATTCTCCACAGGCTGCCAGAGTGGCCTTTGAAATGCCGCCCTCATAACTAAACAATGCAAAACGGCTTCCCGCCACCTGGATCCAGCTCGAATTCTTCATTTGATGTAGGGGGTGCTTCCCATTTGGGGTCCAGCTTGGAGCGAGCCCCAACCAACGCGACCACCGGGTGCAGCCATGAAGGCTGTGCATGGCCCGTGGGGGGCGGCCCCTGGAGGTGAACCGCGGAGCGTCCACTGAGCCGCTGCCTCTGCTGGAAACGCGGCCTCCTGTGGGTTTCACCCCACCTTTTGCTGTTCCCCAAATACCTCCTGCTATTCAGTTCTCCTGACGTCACAGCCATGCTCTTCTTTCAGCCACTAACACCCTGCTTCCTCTGTGGGCTGCTGAGCTTCCTGCTTCCTCCCAGTTGACAGACTACTCTGAAAATCTGACCCTGCTCCCAGACCCATTCATTTCCCACCCAGACTCCCCAAGCTGTCTCGAGGACACACCCCCCTCAAGGTGAGTCTCTCTCTTGGGCAGGGCTGTGTTCACGCATGTCTGAATCCCAACCCCAGGCAGGGTCTGGCTCACAGGAAGTGCTTAGCAGGGGTGTGTGGGAGCGGATGAATGAATGAGTGAATAAACGAGTGAGTGAATGACTGGATCCTGGCAGCTTCTGACTGCGAAACCCGGTGGGCATGAGGGTGGAGAGAGGAAGCCCAGGACCTCCTCAGCCTTCGCAGCCTAATGTAAATTTGTGCGTTTATCCAATAGGCAACTTTCTGTAAAAACATCCTTTAAACACTTTGTAAAATGCAGATTTTAAAATGCAGCAGACTGTTCTTCCCAGGTAATTATAGTCTGCCCTGTGAGTCTGCAGTGAAGGCCTTTTTATTTAGTAGGTCTATTACTCCTTGCAGATTACAAATTAGGGCCCTTTCAAGGAGCAAGTTCTCCTCCCTCCTCTAATTCCCCCAGAGGGAGGCCCTAGGAGCTGCTGGTAGGCAGCCGCCTCTGCCATCAGGATTGCCTGGGGAGTGGACCCCAGAAACCCTCCTGGGCTACAGGCTCTGACGGGATGTGGGCGCTAGAGCAGTTTCTTCCCCCCAAGCAGCCCCTCACTGTCCACCCCTCCCCAAGAGGGCAATGTGCCCACAGCGGGAAGCTCTGCCAGTCTCACCCCTGCATGCCAAAGGGCCTCTTCCCATTGCCCACTGCAGTCCTTGCCCTGCATCCTTGGGGCCCTTAAAAATGCAAGTCGGGGGGGCCTCCCTCGTGGCACAAAGGGTTGAACACAGCACTGTGAGGCAATCCACAGCCTCTGCAGTGCAGGTTCGATTCCCAACAAGCTGGGAAACTGCTCACATGGCGCAGCAGACCTCTCCTGCCTCGTCCGCTGCTCCCCTCAGCAGTGTATTTCAGTCAGTCTGCCTGTTCTGTTCCCCACTCTGTCTCTGGTGAATCCTCTCACCCCCCACATCTCTGGGCTGTACCCCAGTTCTTATATGCATAAATAAATCTCTTTAAAAAATGCAAGTCAGGGGATGGGCCTCCCAGCCACATGCTGCGGCATGGTTGCCCCTTGGTGGAGAGCAGGCCACTGTCCCTACCCAGCCCCGAGGCCCCTGCAGGCTCCCTGCGCCGGACTCCTGGCCTGGAGCCTTCTCATCGCCTTGTGACTGCGTCCGCCTCCCTCCCCGAGGGTGGGCCGGGCCCACCTGCCGGCAGCTGTCACGGTCTCTAGCTCGTGGCTGTGCACATAGTAGGTGCGATGCCCTGGGAAGATGTGCATGATGACAGGTGAGTGGGTTTACCAGATGGGGAGACCGACCCTCTTCCTGGTGGTGCGGCGAGTCACCGGGGGCCTGTCACCAACCAGGGGTGTGCAAGGCCAGGGAATGGCCCTGGGCTGTTGGCCCAGGCCCCGGGGAACTCGACAACCGCCTCTCCCTGCCCGGCTCACGAATACCTGTTTCCACAAGCAGTCATCTCCCCGCACACCCGCAGACAGCAACACGCACTGTCCCAATAAATAAATCTGAGCCACTTTTCAGCCTCGCTTAATGTCCCCGGGAAGGCGGCGTCACGTGGCCCGCGGGGCAGCCCATTAGCCGGCAGGCTGAAGCATGTCATATTGAATTCCACGGCCCGCGGGGCCGCGCGCCCCCGTGCTGCTCTGAAATCTGCGCCGATTTATTAGCGCGCGGTCGTGCTGCGGATGTCCCGTAATGAGCGCGCTGCCCCCCAGCCGGGACCACGCTGCCCACGCGCGCCCGGGAACAGGAGTCGGGGGGTCTTGAACTCACTCCCTGTCTGCAGCTCTCACAGGGGGCCATGCGAGGAGGAGACGGGGGCTTGTGGAGAGATGGCCTCAGGGCACCTGCTGTCCCCCGACCGGCCTCTCCCCAGCGCCCTCTGCCCTGTGAATGCCCACTCGCCCGCCCCGCCCCGGTCCCCCGGCCCTCACGCGCAGCAGCAGCAGGACCACGGCCGGGCCAGACAGCGCCTCAGCCCCCCAGCCCAGGGCCTGGCCCACAGGTGCGTCCACCTCTGCCACCCCTCCTGGGGCCCGGCTTATGCCCTCAGCCCCGGCCTCACACAAGCAAGGTGCACACACCCACGGGGCTCTCCCAGCCACCAGAGACAC